TGGAAATCCGGACGGCATCAGCCGAACATCAATGCGATCGAAGCTTGATATTTTCGGGATATCAAAAACACACACTACTATCCATGACGAGAAACAGCTAGAGAAAGAGTGGCTGTGTTGCTGCCCTGGCAGACGGCAACCGTCGTCGAGTATGAGTGACTATTCTCACTTCGCCGAAGGCAGCAAGGTCGCTTGTTTCTGCCCAATGTACGAGTGACCGAGTTTGTTCAGGTGTTTCAACCAGACATGCCAGATTGAGTGTGGTCGTCGTGTACGCCCTTACAAATGTTGTAGAAGATGAGCTGAAGGACCAACTTCGTGACTGCTTGCACCAGGCCGTTGCCTCACTGCCACGTCACGATTTATCGATCGTCGCCGGTGACCTCAACGCTCAGGTCGGAGTCGATTACTCAAACTGGCCGCGGGTATTAGGCTGGCATGGCAGAGAAGCTACTGGCAGCGGCATCCGCATGGGATGTTTATCGGCGTAGCGATTTCCTCACGAATCATCAGCAAACGTGGGTGGCGTCAGACTCGAACTTCAAAAGCAAAATCAATCACGTCATCGTGAACGATAACTGGCTACACTCCCTCTATGACACGCAATCCAAACGAAGAGCTGACATTTGATCCAATCACTTCTTAGTGGTTGCGAAGCTCCCTTTCAGACTGGCAACATTTGGAAAAACGAGGACGGACGAAAACAGGAAACGCAGTTTTGACCTGAGCACGCTGAAAAATCCGATTGCGTGTGTGGCGTTGCAGGCACAAAATAACGGCAAATTCGCTGCAGTAATTAGTAAGAATCAAGATCAAAACTGCCAGAGCTGCTCTATGAACGGATGAAGTTGAAAGCCGAGGGAGGAGCCAAGCGCATCGGATTTTGCGAAAAGTCAAATCAGTCTTGCATCTCTTTAGAAATTCTGAAGCTTGGCCAAATGCGGAACATGAAAAGCAAGTGATGTTGCAAGAAGAAAAGGACATTGCCAAACGAAGACTACATCGATACTTAAAAAAGCGGTGAACAAGAGCTCCCGTTGTGACCAGCAACGAAGGCTCATGGTGGAGGCTGCAAAATTAAAGAATACGATGGCCGCGAAAGACTGGATGACTGTGTTCAAACTAGTGGTGACTCTTGATGGCAAGGGCGGCAAGCTGCAGTGGA